CACACACACACACACACACACACACACACACACACACACACACACACGGAAAAAGCGAGAGAAGGAAAGAAGCAGGGATGGCGAGAAGAGGAGAGGGAAGGAGAGAGAGAGGAGAGGAGAGGGAAAGGGAGGGCGAGGGAGGCAGGGAGGGAAGATTTAGTAATCTCTCAGGACGCCTCTACCCGCATAGAAACGAAGGAGCCCAAATGAACCAGCATGGCCCGAATCGGAGGTCAGTCTGTCTCATTAGCCCAACACGGGTCCTTCAAACGTTTGCATCTCCGCGATCTACCTGGGGAGCAAAAGAATATCCTTCTAACCCCTTCCCCACCCTTCCGCCGCAACTAGGTCATCCCTAACCTGTTAGCCCAGCACGCGATTATATTTCTAAAAAGAGGTGAGGAGTCGGTCAAACTCCGAAATAGGAAGGCAAAGCTCATCTTGCAAGGTGTGCTCAGCAGCCCGAAGGGGCCAGGCACAGGAGATTGGGGCAGAGGCACTCCTACTGTGGGGTCCGTGTACGCGGGGCAGCCCACAATGTCCCACGTGGTGCGAAGCAGGACAAATGCTCCGAGATCTAGGCAAAGCCAGGCGCCCCCAACTCCGGCCCAGAGCATTCCATCATGGTACCCAGGAAAACCGGACCTCCACGCGGGCAGAAGTGCCAGCCTGCTCCAGCCCGGGCACGTCCCCCGACTTGCAAGAGAGTTGGAGGAGAGGAAAACTTCGGTTTTCACCTGAATCCCCCAACCGTGGGGTGCCAGGATGCTCCAGACACTCTCCCTCTGAGGTCTCACCTCCACAACGTCCCAGACCCGTCCCACAGTCTAGAACATCCTGCCGTCTACTCCCACTGGGAGGGAGTCAAAGCAAAAGGTTGACTCCACGCCCCACTCGGTCCTCACAACCGGACCAGACACCCACATCCTTCCTCCCTCAAACCTCGCCCCATCAAGGAGAGATTTCCTCAGAAGTCCCTTCAAAAAAAACGCCAACTTGCAACTTACCTTTGGAAGAATCCGTCTGTTCGCCGCTGCTGGGGCGGGACGGCTGGAGGAAGGAAGGATCCGTGGGTATTTCTCCAGCTGAAACCCTGGAGATTGAGAAAGATAGGAAGAGACGCCCCCTTAGAGCCGAACTCCACCTCATCCTAGATCACGTGACGGCACCCCACGAGGATCACCCAAGGTTTTCCCCACCGCCTCCTCCCAACACCGCAACTGAGATGCACAACTCGGGGTGCGTTGCCTAGGAATTCGGAAAGGAAAAGCAGCTAGAAGGAAGCCACGCTGTCGGAGCCGTGCGCCAAGCCCTCGCCCCGCTGCTCCCTGCCTCGAGGAAGGCTCCCGTGAGCCCGTTAAAAAAGTCCGTGCCACTGCTGGTTCCTTTGTCTGCAGGTCAGTGCCATCTTGTGGCCAAGTCCTTCTCGGAGAGTCCGAGAGCTTTAAGCCCGAGTCCAGAACCCGGGGAGAGCTTGTTTACCGGAAGGGGGAAGGATGCGCACTTCACCGCAAAGCCTCCGCTAATGGCTTTGCTGATGCTTTGGTGACGCTCAAACATCCCGCACGCCAACACCGAGAAGTTATTTTCTCCAGTCTAAGAGAACCAAAAAGAAGACCTTTACAAAGCCAAAGTAGCGGATCTCGCTTGAGAGCCTCTGAGCCCCTTTTTCTCCTCACTAAGAAAATGCATTTGAGTCAGATTTGCTCCTAGTTGGAGTTGCTTTTTTAGGGGAGCATGGAAGCGGTCCAGGACATGATGAAGCCAGCATTTCCCTGCTGGTCACAAGAGTCAATGCAATTCCTCTGGCGATTTATCTGCTATGGTATGGACCCTTACTGGTGTGCTCAGGACACAGGGTCCTTGCAAACTGCCCATGGTATTTGGTGGTCAGGCTAATCGCTGACACACTGATCTCATAATTCACGTGGTTTTCTTTCTCTTTGAAAAGTCAAGGCTGGGTAATGCACGCACGTGAGCACACACACACATAAACACACACAAACACCTAATTTACTTATCTAGGAACTAGAACCTGTTGCAATTCAAACTGTTAAGAAATACAAGAGCTTTCCAATACATGGGTGTTGCCTAGGCTGTACATGTAGTTCATTACAAAATAACCAAGATTATTTGCCTTTAAAGTAAAAAACCAAATAAAAATAAAATTCCATGACATGAAATCACATGGAACTACACTGTTAAGAAATAAATGATTTGCTTTTCTGAGTGTTAGCTTGAATAAGAATCATTTATCAAAACAAATTTGGTTGGTTTTGCACATTGAGATGTAGGCACTCTCTGGGGCTTTTTTGTGGGAAAAGCTAAAGTATTTGTCACCGGGGCACATTATCATATGGCTGGAAGAGGATTACGATAAGATTTAAAATGTACAATGTTTATAGAACAGCAGATATGCATGCACATTAAAACGCTCTAATGGTTTATCAGTAAACTGGAAATAGGAACAAGTGAGGGATTACAATTTCTTTAGAGTATTGTCCTCGTTTGCGCTCCTGTTTCTACTCATCCTCTGTCCACTCCCTCCCTCTAAGTCACACTGTTCTTAGGAGAGTTTCCTACAGTTTTGACTGTCAGACCAGCTAACTGTAGACTGCTGTCAGCACAACAGGTGAAATGATTTAGTTCTTTACCAACAGTATGTTTTCATGAGGTATCATTGATGCCCAGAACTATTTTGGATTTGAGAATACAATTTGGACTTGGGTCCTTACTTGTTTTTCAAGAACAGTAATAAAGTTTCTCTACAAGGGCAGCATTAATATGGCCACTGCAGTTTGTTTTATTACCTTAGTTTCTATGAACTGTCCCCATAAAGTAAATTTATAAAGCTGTGTCCCTGAGATATAACTTAAACAAATCAATTGAAAAATTATTGCTCTCAAAAGATTTTTATGACAATATTTGTGGTATAAAGTTTGGGAATGCTCATCAATGGCATACTTAGATAACTTTAGAAAGACAATTTATTGAAGACCATCTTTAGTGGATAAGCTAGAGAGATCACAAACTCCCTTTAATGTAATTTTATGAGAGATCCACAATAAGCAAAACCATTCATATTTCTGTGAAGATAATATGCTAAATTTTAAGATGATTTCTTTTTCTTTTCTGTTTTTGAGGCACGGTGTGTGTAGCTGACTTAAAACTCAATATAAAGCAGAAGATATTTTTGAATTTCTGATGCCCCTGCCTCTGCGACCCAAGCTCTGTTATTAACACGTGTGTGCTATCACACCTAGTTTGTGTGATGTCTGGTGCCAGGGCGTGAACCCAAGACTTCCTGTACATGAGGGTGGCACTACCAACTTAGCCACACCTGCAGCAGCTTCTCATGTTCTCTTGGTCAACAGTTTCTCTTTGCCGTATAAACTGACAGATAAATTTTGGTCATTAAATCTAAGTAAACCTTAGTTTTATCACAGAGATAAAGCAACATTTTAACTGTCTAGGCCAGCTTTAAAATTGCACGACACAGGGTTGGGGATGCAGCGGAGTACAGCTGCCATCCAAACGTTCAGGAGAACTCCTGAAATAGTGCTAGGCTTTGACACAGGTCACTTCCCACACTGAGCACACTGATGAATCCTGACAGGAATTGATCCTCTATGTGAAACTAAAGTGCAGGTGGGTGATCTTGATGGGAAGTTCTCTCCATGAGGTAGAGCTCCCAATGAAATGTGCTGGTGAATCAGTTCGTATTATAAGAAGTGTGTGTGTGTGTGTGTGTGTGTGTGTGTGTTTCCCTTCTGATGTCCATCCAGTGCACAGTTATGAACAATAATGGCAAAGAATGCAAGGTGCAATGTTACTACGTTAAATAGTATTGTACTGGGAAAACAGAGAAGTGCCTCCAGCAAAGTTATGAATGAATCTTGCAGTTGAGAAACTTGCAGTATTCACCTGGACATGGTGGTGCATGCTTTCAATCCCAGCCCTTGAGAGGCAGAGGCAGGTAAATATCTGGGTTTGAGGCCAGCCTAGTCTACAAAATGAGGTCCAGGACAGCCAGGACTGCACAGAGAAACACTGTCTCAGGGAATTAAAAGGTATTTGGATTTATTTTTGAGTCCACATATTAGAGGTAGCTAAATACAACAGATAGATAGTTTGACTAAACTTATTAGCACAGTCAAATAGCCCACACCATCATTTTATTTATTTCTCCTTTTGAGAAAATTAACTAGCAGAATCAATGACGAACTTAGTTAAAACAGGAGTATACCTGTACAAAGGCAAGCAATTAAAAACCTCCTCTGGAAAGATGGTGTCTGTTCTAGTTTCTTCTCTGTAACTGTGATAAACACCATGACCAGAGGCAACTTAATGGAGGAGCATTAAGCTTCTCAGGCAGCCACTGACTAAAGGAAGCAAAGGCACCCACAGAAGGATGCTGCCTTATAGCTTACCCAAAGGCTTTATCCTTGGCTAACTTTTATCCAATCATGTTGACAATGGGAATTGACCATCACCAAGTTAAAATCCACTTGGTACTTTGCTCTTGATCTGAGATAGGATGCTCTTTAGTGAAGTTTTTTTTTATACAGGAAGATTGTTAGCAGGACCACCTGCCCAGGGAATGGGGTTGTCCACACGAGGCTGGGCCTCCTGCATCAGTTGATGAGACTCGCAGACATGACCATGGACCAATCAGATCTCATCTTTCCCTCCACTGAAACTCCCTTCTCAGGTGACTCTAGGCTAGGTGAAGTTGAACATTGACGCTAACTAGGATTGTGTCTGTTTTTAGTTATGTTTCTTATAGCTCAGAAAAGTAACTTTCTGAAGGAAAGGTTTATTTTGGATCACAGTTTAGAGAAATACAGTCCTTCAGAGCAGAGAGGACATAGCAGGAGGAGTGGCTTGGCATGGTGCCCACCAGAAAGCAGAGAAAGGTTGGTGCTCAAATGGCTGTATCCCTTTCCCCTTCTAATTTAGTCTTGAATCCCAGCCTGTGGGACGGTGCCACCCACACTCAGGATGGGTTTTTTCTTACTCAGTGAATTCTCTCTGGAAATACCCTCACAGGCACACTCAAGGGTGTGTCTCATTAATGGTGTATCTTGATGGAATCAATTTGACAATGGAAGTTGACCATCACCATGATAAAATCCATTTGGTACTTTGCTCTTGATCTGAGATAGGATGCTCTTTAATAAAGATTTATACAGGAAAATAGTTAGAGAATCATTTTCCATCTTGTCAGTATTAGTAGCCCCCATATAACATCAACTCAAATAGCCATATTTCTAATTGCTTTACACAGATGTTAAATAAAATAGTTGTACCCATTTATAGCCCATCCACCTTACATACCTGAGATTAAATATCCTGACCAATGAGGTACACCAAACCACTGATGCCCTTCTGAGCACTCTGAGAACCAGGCTACCCTGCTATGGGACAAGGCCACCTAGTCATGAGACAATTCTACATTTCTACTTCTCCCCGCTTTCCCCCGAGGGGTAGCTCCACTACTGATGTCTCTGGAAGTTCTCTGCTGAGAAACACAACCCCTGCCTGTCCTCCATCCCTCCCAAGAACTACCTAGATAAAATTTGTGCCTTCTGTGGTACCTGCTACCCCCTTGGTTGACTCTAATGTCGCATTTAGTAGATTTCTTATGTTGTACTTTTAGTACTCAGTCATACTTTCTCTCTTTTTAAAAATGTATTTGCTTTACATCTTGATTACAACCTCCTCTACTGTTGTCCCTCCCTGTTCTACCTTTCCTCCTTCTTCCTTTCTATCCCCTCCCCTAGTACTCAGAAAGGGGAGCCCTTTTCCCCTACCAACTGGCCACATATTATCAAGTCTCTTCAGGACTGCCTGCATCCTTTTCCTCTGTTGGAAAGTGATGGAGAAGCATGCACCAAAGTCCATGTCAGAGTCAGCCCTTGGTCCCCTTACTGGGGGAACCCACATGGAGACTCACTCATACCCTTTTCCATCAGTTATGTCCTTGTGTGCTCCAATCTCCAAATCTCTCTTAAGTTTCCTAGATCATTATCAGATCCAAAGTATTGTCTCAGCATCCCCACCTCTCACACTCTCAAATCCAATTGATCACAGATTCTGATTTTTTTTCTCCCTGAAGTCTCTCCCTTAGCTCCTTTTCTTCTTTTCTGTAAATCACTCAGCTAGACAGTTCTACCCCCATTTCCAACAGGTGTTCAGTGACATTTCTCCCATTTAAATTGTCAATTGCTCTTAATCTGGATATTTCAAGAAAAATGAAAGTAGCCTTTTCAACAATATTCATTATCACAATATGCACACGTACACACACACTCCCAAACACACACACAAACACACACACAATCTGTAGCCATTCACACTTTTCTGGATGAGACACCCTCTGCCCTTTACACTATTGGCCCATATCTTACTTGTTCACCCTCTCTGTCTCTCTGACTGAATGATCCCTGACGCTTCAACTGAAGCCCTGTCTCAACCCTGTTCATCTCTTCTCAGAGCTGGCATTGCATTCTTAGTTACATTCTTTGACCACAGTAGGGTTACTTCCAATGCATAACTGACATTGTTTGATAGTAATTGTTTGCACAGATCTACTAGTACACTGTGGTGCTTTGGAGACAGTGATCCCTGACACCCTCCCATCACCCCCTCCACTTCTTCAAGCTTAGAGCACAGACTAATACCCAGAAGGTCCCCCAATACAGAAAGTGTGTTGATTCTGTTTTTCTCAATATGTATAAGCTTGAATAATGGGTGCTACCGCCTGTGAAAATGTTTATGGTATCTACTGGGTGAAATGTCTCACAGTTTTTTTCCCCGCCCACTGTATGACCTACTTTAAAGAGCTGACATACCAGCAAGAATGGTGAGTAAGAACGCAGCGTGGTAGCATACTTTTGGGGAGAGCATGTGATTCATCCATGCTAACTTTTGATTCTCCGCTAATGCTTTGAACATTTCTCCAAACATTCTTCTTAAAGAGTATTCAAAACAAACCAAGATACAAAACACATAAATAAATAGTTTTCCTTTCATTCCACCTAAATATAGTAAAACTATATTTAGACTTTGAACTAGAATTAAAATACTAACCATTGAAAATTTAGATAGCAAATGAAAAAAAACTTTTTTAAAGAGAGCCAGTTTGGGCTGATGAGATGGCTCAGTGGTTAAGAGCACTGGCTGCTCTTCCAGAAGACCTGGGTTCAATTCCCAGTACCCACATGGCAGCTCACACCTCTCTGCATCTCCAGTTCCAGGGGATCTGATACCTTCTTACCAATGCACATAAAAGTAAAATATAAAAAAAAAGAAGAGCCAGTTTTACAGGATACGAATTAAGAGCATGAGTTTTGTAGAAAGAAGAACTGTAGAGTCACGTGATACAATATTATGCACCCTGAAATTTTTTTCACACAGTATATAAATATGCTTTGCAACAAAATTTTAAAATAATACAAGGGATGATTTATTGACATGTAAAGCATACATACTTTTTTCTGGAAAACAATTGTAAATTCTTAGCTGCAGAAAGGAGAACATATACCAGAAAGAACTGAAAATTTTACCAATATAATATCTTGTACCTTTGTGTCTTTGTTTTTTTTTTTAACACAAGAAAGACAGTATTTATGCTTACCAATATCTGAAGATACAAAGTAACCCATGCATTTCTATATGTGTCTATAACAATGAAGGCATAGCTATTTAGTTTTTAAAAGGGACTCCAGATCTGAAAGTTGAAACGCTTTCCTTTACAGACATAAACAGTCAAAGATCAAGTTGATTATTTAAAGCCACACCATTAACTTGGCATAAAATGTAGCTACCGTTCACATATTCTAAGCATTTCCCTGTAAATGTACCTGGTGTATGATTATGTAACTATATGTAGCACGTATATGTATATGCAGCTTTAAATGTGGAAAATTAACTTGTGAAGAAGAGCTGCACAATCTGTCTGAATGTCAGCCACAGCTGCACATTTAATGGCTTATGGAGAATATTACTTACTAGGAGTCAATGAAATATTTCCGATGAGCTTCTTTAGGCCCTAAGCGTTGTCACCTGGTTATTTGATTAAAATGACTGTGGGCACCCGCCTGCAGGCTAGTGTTTAAAGAAACATCTTCCATAAAAATAACTGCATTGTTTCACAATAGCATGCCAGTACCTCATTGTTAAACCCTAAATGTTAAGTTATACAACAATCTTTACTATTCCACACAGGTCACTGCAGCAAAAAGCTTTGTAAAAAGTCTCACAACACACAGAAATTGCCCTTTCCACATCTCTTAAGCATTTACCAATTAAATGTACCACAATTTACCATAAAAATGCTTAATCAACATAATAAAATTTTAGAGGAAGCACAATTTACCTGGTAAAATGATGATACTTTCCTTGCTTACTTAACCCATGACCTGAGACACTAACATATCAGAACCACACAGGAGCTGGGAGTATGTCCAAGCATTTTAGGAACTGTCCTCCACAAATGGAAGCTATTATTACACTGGAGTGGTAATCTCACAGAGGCCGCAGACATGCTCCTCTGCAGAATGATACCCTGGGCCCAGTTGTTCAATAATTTGTCTTACGAGTCCCAATTGATCCATAACTCTCTTCTTTTCAGATAAGCTTTCTTTTCTAGCTGATAACAAATCTCAGAAACTGGGAATTAGCCAGTCTCATTTTCTAACATGCATAAAAATCCAACTTAATTTCCCATGTGGACGTTTTATAAAAATGCCTACAGCAGAGGTGGTCATTACTGTTTCTTCCCCCAGAGGCTATACCCCCTCTGCCTGAAAGGTACTCTATAGAACAGAAACAAATTTGCTGTATTATGTATTAGAAAAGTAATGATGATTAGTCTCCAAGCCCTTTTGGGGCCTGGAGATAAAAGCTCACTTACACTTATGCTTGCCTTTTTATACAGCACATGTCTGATATTTTTCAACTCTATACATTCTCCCAAACAAAAAATTTGTAATAACTTGGTCCTTCCACATGTCCTTAATATTGCATACCAGAAGATGTTTTGCATAAAAAGTTCTCTCTCTGTCTGTCTCTCTCTCTCTGTGTGTGTGTGTGTGTGTATGTGTGATGTGTGTGTGTAAGGTGTATGCATGTGAATGTACATTGCTTGTGTTTTTATGTGTAGAGGCCAGAAGTTGACTTCAGGCATCTTCTTCTGCTACTCTCCACCTTTTCGAGATGGGGTCTCTCATTGGAAGTGGATCCCACTGTTTCAGCTATGTCAGCTAGCCAGTGAGTCCCCAGGAACCAGATCTTCTTATTGGTCCATGTGACATGCTTAGCTTTAACATGGCTGCAGAGGAGCCAATGCCCGGTTGTCGGGCTTGCGCAGCAAGCACGTTAACACTGACCCTTTCTTTTTGAGGCTTGTGTGTTTATGGACATCCTGGAAATGAAAACAGGCAAGTCCAGCATCATCTCAATGCCACAATGGGCCTTTATTTTCAATATGCTAATGTCATCAAAAGAGAAAAGCAAATGTGTGGAAAAGGAAACGTTCTTGTATTTTTAACATGGCATAGGCAGGAGCATGTAGCACAGCCTGCTTTTCTGGAAGACATCCACAGAGACGCTGTTTGGAGATCAGTGCATTTGGAGGGCGTGTGTCAGACTGTGCAAGGGATGAGAGAATATTCATCTGGCAGCGTGCAGTATGTGAACTGTGCAGTAGCTGGCGTCAAGGAAGCTTAGGGCCAAAGCTCTTGTCTGCTGAAAGTCATTCTCAACTTCTCTCCTCCTCCCTTCCCTCACTGCAGGATCCCAGGATGCTCATGTACCTGCTGTGTCCAGCTATTGGGAGGGATACAGTGTTTCTGAAATGAAGCCCAGAAGAATCAGATCATATGATCTTGAAGCTTTTGAAGTTCTTGGATTACTGGTGCTGAGGGAACGCATGCTCTACAGCTCCCTCCGGTACTGAATAGTAAGTTAGTAGAAGCTGGCAGAGATCTTAAGACCTCTGAGCAACAGCTAGCAACTGCTACCCCAGGGTTGAATTAGCAAGCCGCATTATTTCCGAGAGATAAAATTCATCTTTAGTTATCACAATGCCTTCATTCCTACAGCCCTGCCTGTAGCAGGCAGCGCCTTGGATTGTAATCATGATAGGGCAGGAAACACACTGTTGAAATGGCAGGCTACTTCCTGAGACATACAGCCCCACCACCTCAGAGAAAGAAGCCTAAAGTGTTTGCCAACTACTGATTGGCCAAATACGAAGACAATCTTGCAGGAAAGGATACAGCTCTGGCAACCTTAAATTAAAAATGAAAATAAAGCTTTGGTTCAAGAAGACAGGGTTTATTTGTCTGTTTCTATTTGTTTATTTTTTATGTTTATATTCTTTGCGTTTTTAGAAGATGGCAACAACAATTAAAACGACACCACACACACACACACACACTTTGTGGTAGAGAACTGCAGAGAAGGCTTGATTCCATTTTACCCTCACTTCCCAGCTTCCCCAGCTCCATGGCCCTTGCTCCCTCCTACACTACTACTCTTTAGAGTCGGAGCTGGTCCCATTGTCTCTTTTGCAAGGTGCATCACAGCCTGTTCCCTGCAGGTTTAGGTCAACTTTCCACCTAGACTTCTTTTTGTCAGAAAGGCAAGAGGATGTTCTGTTCTGCGATTTGAGTTTTTTTTCCCTCTCTCATAAAGAAAACCTGGTTCTTGAAGGTTTTTCTCACAAAATCTGTCAGAAAAATAAAACGCCCACTCTCACACAGGACACCATGGGCTGAGGACAGGACCGGCAAACATCCCTGGGACCCTCCTAAGTTAACTCCTGGAACCAGAGCACAGGGCCACCTCTTGAAGCCCAAGAGCTGCCGCCTGAGGCCTCCAAAACAGACGGCAGGGACTGGGCTGTCCCTAAACCGGGCTACGGGGGCCCGAGGCAGGCGATCTTGAGCCGGGTCTCTGGGGTCTCCCTGTCACGTGTTCCCGAGGCGCTTCCAAAGCCCCGGCGCCGGGCCCCTCCTTCCCACTGCCGCCTCCAGGTCCTGCTCCTGCCGCCGCCGCCGCCGCCGCGGCCACGAGCAGATCGATCGCGCTCAGCCACGCATCCCGGACTCCAGGCACCAAAGGCGGCCGGGGCGTCCCGAGGAGGTACCCACTCCAGGCCTCGCCTGCCCCCACCCAGAGCCCGGGTCCCTATCCTGGGTTCTGGAGCATCTTGCGGTTTCCAAGAGGGTAGTGCGCGCCCGCGGAGGCAGCGCTGTTGGGAGAGGGGATGGAGGTGGAGAAACCGCAGTAGTCAGGAGGGAAGGGAGAGCAGGGAAAGGGTGGCAGCTGAGTCCTTCCTCGGCCGGCAGGTTCCTCCGTGGAGCAGACTCCTGCCAGACCCTATTGGATGCTCCCGGGAGGGTCCCGAGGATGGGGAGGAGGGATGGACGGAGTGCTGTCCCGGCTTGGAGGAGCCTGGGGCACAGCACAGTGGGCGTCTGAGGTGGGGGAACCACGGCCCACAGTGTGCCCGAGCCGGTTGTCAGCCCTGGCCGAGCTCCGGTGGTGCCCGGGATGGGGGTGCATGGACCCAGCCGCCTCCGCGTCCCACAGCTGGCCACACACACCGGGAGGTAGCTGTGCACTTAGGTTTGCAAGGTGGCCTGTGAGTCAGCGGCGCAGGAATTAGCCATCCACACACCTGAGTTTCAGAAAAAAGGGATTCTTAAGTGTAAGTTTACAGACCTGTAGTTTATCTATTCAAAGAACATGCTGTTAGATGGAAGCCAAAAAAAGAAGAAGAGAAACAAAAGGTTTGCCATAATCTGTGACAACTGCCTAAGACTGAATGCATTCCAAATGCCTCAAGGAGAGAGATATTATGTTGTTAAGAGTGTAGAAGAAGTAGAAAAATGGTGGGTACTTGCATGTTTGTTAGCGGAACAGGACTGTGTTTATTTGTCCGGGAATGTTTTTTCCCCCATTCGAGATTTTTGCCTCGCAGAACAACACACCACGAGAATACGTGGAGTCACAGAATTGTGCCATCGCTTCAAGTCCACCGAACAGCAGTTGACATCTTATCTCTAGAGGAGAACTACATATGTGCAACATTGGCATCTTTCCAAAGAAGCATGTCCACATTTTCATTGAGCAGGGAATTACCCTGACAGAGAAATCTTTAGTCCACATATAGATCAGTCTCTCTGTGTCCTTTGGTTCACTGTAATTTCTACTCTTCTTCCTTGAAGAACTTATGTATCTGCTTTCTCAGAACCCTTAAGGTTTGTTCAGACTTCACTTCACTCGGTGTCACATACAGAACGATTTTTAAGAAAATCACAGTAAATCCTCACAACGACATTACTTTTGTAAAGTCACCGCAGTTTAATGACCCCCAGCCCTCTCTCTCTCTCTCTCTCTCTCTCTCTCTCTCTCTCTCTCTCACACACACACACACACACACACACACACACACACACACGCACGCACACGCATACGGTGTTACTCAGGGAGCTGAACTTCAACATTCCAGGTGGAAATTGTGACGGTGAGGAAGCTTGCCAGTGTCAAAAAGAGAATGAACAGGATATAGAAGTGGGTAGAAATGAAGAACTCGTGTGGTTTGACACATTCTTTTTCCTGCAATAATATTTCTTTGTGTAATTGATAAAGCACCACATCTTTCACACCTTCCAAAGTAACCTAAGGTAAATTAAGAATCTCTTATGACACTGTCTTCATCATCTATAAAGTGTTTAAGATGCATAAAACTGTATTGTGAGGAGTTGGTGATGGCACTGTAGAAACACAGAGAATCATTACACAGATTGAGTTTCTGTGACTCTTTGTTGTTTTTCAAAAAGGAGAAAGTAAGGACGTAACTGGAAACAAGGAGAACTTTTGATTTGTTATTTATCTGTCTATTTTGATTTCAAAGTAGCTCCTCCACTTCACATTTTCAACTGTAAAACAGAAGACTTACATCTTACGGGGCAAAATTGCCTAAGGGTTGAGCTGTCCTCTACCTGGAAGGAGGCAGTTTTAAAGAAAGCAGTTGATGTGTGCTCCCACACTCATGGCAGCATTTAGCTGTGAGAAGCCACTCAAGGGAGCTGAGATTTGCAGAAGGCACCTCCTGTTCAGAACACCGCAGCTGCCATGTGTGTGGACGTGCATGTGTGATGGGCAGGTGATGTGGCCATCTTCATATTCAGAACAGCGTGCTGGGCATAGTAGATGTTCAGTAAATACTTGCTTAATGGCAAGGAGTGGCTCAGATATTCATTAAAGTGGCTTCCATTTTAATATATTGATTTCCACTTTCTCAGAGAGATAATTTAGGAAAGAAATGCTATCGTCCGTTTTTCTGCACTGTCCAGTGACTCCTTTAGACAGTACTCTTTGATCTGCCAAGAAGTGAGCAGCTTTTTAACAAATGCAACAGTAATTCTTACATATTTAAAATAGGCATGTCCTAGGAACAACTGTGAGGTCTGGTATACATCTTCATATTACTACAGAGAATGCTGTAATGTTGTTCTTGATAGTTTTAGTTTCCTGTTGGCCATGCGTCTTTATCAATGAAGATACTACATTTGAGTAGTTGGAGTGTTAAGCTGTCACTATTTCTTATACAGATATCTCATTCCACACTATTTAAACCCCCAGTTTCAGTGGCTATCCATATGTACACAAATATGCACACACATAGTCAGACTGTACCCTGAGAACCCCCAGAGCCATTCATTTCCGTAATTTTAAATCTGGAAACCTTAAGCCACCTTTCTGAAAATGATTAGTGGCAAATATTTAGTGTTAATATGTCTGACATACTTTATTAAGTTTCGCACGGTCACTATAATAATGGATACACTTTCCTATCTTTAATCTCATATAATCTAATCAAAATATAAGGCCTATGTTTGGGGAATAATATGACTTTTGACCCCAAACTATATACATGTATAGGAATATACGTGTGTTTGTGCTGGAGTCTGAATTCACTATCTTATACATGCTAGAGAAGCATGCATTCCACCAATGAACTTTAGCCTTGGTCCTTCAAAACCATGTTTTTTTGTTGAAGGAAAAACCAGGCTGCATTTCTTTATTCTCTAAAAAATTGACAGCAATTTTATTCTGAATGATATATAGAAAGAAAGCACAAATCCATTGTGGATGTCTCTGTCCAATTTGTCCCTTATCCTTGCTTTGGTTATAGAAAAAAAAATTCAATTAGTGACTACTGACCTATCACAAGTTTAAGAGAAAGAGGTTGATTCAAAAAAGTGAGTCAAAAGTGCATCCAAGCAGAACTGTTACAGACAGCCCATGTGCATCTCAGGTATAAATAGGATCATGAACAAGCCACATGGAACCCAGCGGTCATCAGAACTCAGGAAATGGGTTGAAGCACGAGTCAGGCTGCTTTCGCTAGAAGCACACTGACTTGCGCAGTTGCTGGAAGGCTATTGTCTAGTCATATGGTGAGTGGGATGATTCAGCGACCGTGTGACTCACTTTTCTATCCGCTACCCTCTTTCCCTTGAGTCAGAGCCGATGGAAATTATTGGTTAGGGTCTACAGACAAATGAACACGGTCTGGAGCTTTTGGGTTGTTTTAGCTTTGGATGGGTGTGTTTAGCTTCAGAAAGTTGTCCCAGCAGTGTGGAGTGAGTGTTAGAAGTTCCCAGGAAAAAGAAGTCCAACTTTGCTTATACAATAATCACTAGGTGAATATTGCTGTGCATGAAAATAAAGCCAGTCTTAGTTTAAAATGATTATCTGTGAACAAGAGTATCCTAGTTTGGAAAAGTATTGAATCAGAACGTGTAGGCCCCTCAGAAACTGAAGAGAATATCGTTTGCTAGGATTTTAGTAATTTTCAATTATGGCTGCAGAAATAAGTAGGTATACATATGTTGCTATAAAATAAAAGTCTTTCTTAACTACTTGTGTGAATGTGTATTATCTATCATCTATCAGTTATCTATTATCTATCAATGTACGATTTGTCTATCATCTATCAATGATCTATCTATCATCTATTTCTCTAGAGTTCTATGACAGAATAAGTTTAACAGGGTTAATTAACTTCTGCAGTATTGGGTTTCCTGAGGAGATTGTTGTTTGGAAACTGAAAGTGCCCTGGAGCATTTTGTCATGTCTGTACTCCCAGTATTTCAAAGACTGAAGCAGGATAATGGGATGCTCAAGACCAGCCTGGGCAACACAGTAAGAACCTGTCTCAGATAAAAAAAAAAAAAAAAAAAAAAAAAAAAAAGCTCTCAGCTGTTTTTTAAAAAGATAGTTTTTTTTCTTTTAGCTGATGTGTGAGGGGCTACCTCTCACTGCATCGAGAAGTGACAGAGTCTCTAACATATATGGAGACGAAAGGGTAAGTACTGCAGTAGGATTGTCACTGATTGCACTTGATATAAAACATCTTATGAGGCCTCATTAGTTTCGCTTCTACATTTAAATTTAAAATATGATTCTTTCTGGGAACAATATGAACTCATGGGATCCTTTTTGAACTGACATTTGTAAGTAGTTTTTAGATTAAAAAACAATCTGTTTTTCAGTAGCACAGTCAGTCAGCCCACAGTTCAAATTCATAAGATTGAGAACTAATCTGGAGGTTTTTGGTCAGCTTTCTGAGCCATGAATGAATGAATGAACGAATGAATGAATGAATGAATGAATGAATGAATGAATGCTGTATATACCTAGGTTCTGGAATAATGTTGTATGTATGGAAAGCTTCAATTTGAACATAGTATGAAATAGATCACATTTTGATCACTAAATTTTTGTTCGTATTTTTTCTCCCTTCATAAATATTTGGCATTCAGTGGTAAAGTTACTTTGCCATGTGCCGTGGTGGGCAGCAGGGAGAGTAAGGGGCGCCTTGCGCTTTCCACTGCTTAGAAGCAAATACAGTACACTGGACAGATGATGACGGCTACATGAAGCAGACTGCAGCACCAGTGACAGAAAGCTGTAATGTCCCTGTCATGGGAGTCCTAAAGAGATCACGTCCAATTTAGCATCTGACGTGGGTGACTTCACAGATGTTTTTATTATCATATGGTGATTATTCATAACAACCAGTTTCATTATAATATCTTCATACATGTACCTAATACATTTGATCATTTCACCCTAATACCTTCTCCATCCCCTCTTCCTTTCTCTCAATTACCTGTGCTCTAGTTTCCTGCAATGAGTGTGTGTGTGTGTGTGTGTGTGTGTGTGTGTGTGTGTGTGTGTACCAGTGATGTTTCAAAGGCATTAGAGAAGATCTGTTTATAGGAGAAACAGCATACTACCAATGGCTACATCTCTGAAGAAAATCCCTCTCCCCCATCAATCGTTAAGTGGCTATAAAACCTGAGGTAGGGTTGGGGTCCCACAAACCTCTCTTCCTTCTTCAGAAGGGTGTGTGCAGGCCCATTCTTGTACAGAACTTGTGCAGATCATCATAGCTGCTTAGAGTTCAAGAGAGCGACAACCATGTCATGCTCTGACATCAGCACTCCACACCACTCCCCCGACTTACTGTCTCTTAGGTTCTTTCTGTCCCGTCTTCTACAACATTCCCTGAGACTTAGAATAAGAAACAGATGCAGGATAGTGACTTTTAGGTTTAATCTTGATAAGAAAGAAAAGATTTTAAAAGGTAAGATTATAGACTAATGTTATATTTTAGGCATCTTGACTAAAGAATAATAGTATTCTGCTATTATAAATTGTATATCAACGTTTTTCTCTGCATTTTTCTCTTTCATTCCTTCTTTTATTCCTGAAATGAAATTGAAAAACAAAGTTTGTGATGAGCAGAAGTTAATGGTGTGTGAAACTGGTAGACTTAAGTTTTCTGTAATTATTATTGATGAATTTGTACCACTCTTTGAACCAAATAACAGGTGCTTTATTGATCATAGAGGTTTGCAAGGGAATTGGGGAAAGTTCTAGAATTTAGTTTTGTTCTATGTTAAAGTTACAGTAGTGTGTGATTTTTCTTCAGGCTGCTAATGGATGTCATCTTATTCCAAGCAGGATTCTAGTATGGATTTGGAACTTGAAGAGCATTTTAACAAGACATTTGTCACAGAGAACAATACTGCCACCAGTCAGAATGCCGCCTTCCCTGTCTGGGATGACTACAGAGGAACAGAGAACAATACTGCTGCTGCTCACAATGCCGCCTTCCCTGTCTGGGAAGACTACAGAGGCAGTGTAGATGATTTACAATACTTTCTGATTGGGCTTTATACATTTGTAAGCCTACTTGGCTTTATGGGAAACCTACTTATTTTAATGGCTGTTATGAAAAAGCGCAATCAGAAGACTACGGTGAACTTCCTCATAGGCAACCTGGCCTTCTCTGATATCTTGGTAGTGCTGTTTTGCTCACCGTTCACGCTGACCTCTGTCCTGCTGGATCAGTGGATGTTCGGCAAAGCCATGTGCCATATTATGCCTTTCCTTCAGTGTGTGTCAGTTCTGGTTTCTACTCTGATCTTAATATCAATTGCCATTGTCAGGTACCACATGATAAAGCATCCTATATCTAACAATTTAACAGCAAACCATGGCTACTTTCTGATAGCTACTGTCTGGACCCTGGGCTTTGCCATCTGCTCTCCCCTCCCAGTGTTTCACAGTCTTGTGGAACTGAAGGAAACCTTTGGCTCAGCATTGCTGAGCAGCAAGTACTTGTGTGTTGAGTCATGGCCCTCTGATTCTTACAGAATTGCTTTCACAATCTCCTTATTGTTAGTTCAGTATATCCTGCCTTTGGTATGTTTAACAGTAAGTCATACTAGTGTCTGCAGGAGCATAAGCTGTGGATTGTCCCACAAAGAAAACAGACTGGAAGAAAACGAGATGATCAACTTAACTCTCCAGCCATCCAAAAAGAGCAGGAACCAGACAAAACCCTCCAGCAGCCAAAAGTGGAGCTACTCATTCATCCGGAAGCACCGAAGAAGATACAGCAAGAAGACGGCATGTGTGTTACCCGCTCCAGCACGAGCTTCCCAGGAGAACCACCCGATAGTTCCAGAAAACCTAGGCTCGGTCAGAAGTCAGCTGTCTTCATCCAGTAAGGTCATTCCAGGAGTCCCAATCTGCTTTGAGGTGAAACCTGAAGAAAACTCAGATGCCCACGAAATGCGAGTCAAGCGTTCCATCACTAGAATAAAAAAGAGATCTCGAAGTGTTTTCTACAGATTGACCATATTGATACTAGTGTTCGCTGTGAGCTGGATGCCCCTCCACCTTTTCCACGTGGTGACTGATTTCAACGATAACCTCATTTCCAACAGACACTTCAAGCTCGTGTACTGTATTTGTCACTTGTTAGGCATGATGTCCTGCTGTCTTAATCCTATCCTATATGGATTCCTTAATAACGGGATCAAAGCAGACTTGAGAGCCCTTGTACACTGCCTCCACATGTCATGATTCCCTTTGTTTACCAAGGAGCAAAGAAATGTGGAGACTGTCTATAACACATTTGTTCCAATTGATGTAATGTATTCATTTAATTTACGTAAAAGTGTTCTGGGTTCATAATGTATGGAAGATCATTTTCATGTCAGAATATGGTTAATTCTTCTAGTTGTACAGAGTCAGTGTTAGTGTAATCTGTAATTTCATGTTTTGAAGTAGTGGCATTTCCTTCTATCTCATGGCCCTGGTGACAAATGGGTGACACTTTATTTAGTGTAAAAGTTATAGCAAACCAAGTTGATATTTTGAACAAAAATGTAAGAAGCAAAAAGGTTGTCCGAAAGAATATTTAACTACAGATTTAAGGAATTTCTATTATCTAGATATCCTCATTTCTACTTTGCAGGCTTCTTAACATTTTTTAAAATGGTACAAAATATTTAATATGCCCAAAAGTCGGAACTCTATTACACATGTATACATAATTATAAATTTACAGAACGATTCTCTATTATTGAAGATTGGTAAAACTGTCAATTTAACTGTTGACTGTCCTACTGCTACTAATTAACTTATCAAGTGCAAATAGGTTTTTAACTCTTGTTTAGATTTATTTCACATTATCCACTGTCAAATAAAGGTTGTTTTCCTATACACCTTTAATGTTCTAAAATGTGAAGTCTAAATGGTGTCTGCATTTCTAATTATTAAATAATTCATAAGACCATATTTAAGAGTCTGCAAATGGTATGTTTAGTTAGTGTTAATATAAATAAAAGTAAATAATTGATTTCATGTTATTTCTATGTCGTATGCATGTTAGGTATCATGTCTTGCTACAGTGAAAACAAACTGATCTATTTGATGTGTTTCTTCATTTGAGCATGTTTCTTGTTCCTGTTAGTTGTTTGGTTGGTTTTATTTGTACAACTGGAGATGGAATTGAAGGCCTTGTACATGCTAGCAATTGTTCTGTCCATGTCTCTAACTCTTAGCCAGGGAAAAGTCCTATAAAAATAATTGATGATTGGCATATATAAGCCAGATATGCAAAGCAGTATTGGTGTCTTCAGTACTTATAACTGATTTAACTGTTCCCCTGGGTTGACTCCTATTACCCACAAAGGAAAACAGGAAAACAAACAGATCACCTTCCAAAAGACTCTTTAGATTTGCAAGAAACAGGTAATGCTTATGTTTACTCAATTAATAGCCCCAAATCTTTACAAGGGGTTTCTTTCTGCACTGTTCTTCATTCCTCAAAGAAGTCTATGAATAGCAGAACTGCTGTGGTTTTCTTGAGGAGATGGTGCTTGGTCACAAGATGGTCGCTGATGGGCTTCAGCTGACCTTGCTCTAGCCTCTTTTCTGCTATATAATGTGTGGTCCCTTAGTGAAGTTACAGCCTTATAGACACCAGGGTAGAACTTGAACAATGAGTCTCAGCCACACTTAGCTGTATTTCCAAGAGTCAGGGACATCACCCTCCATCAAGCCTGGGAGCTGTTGGGACATTTTATAATCATCCGTGAGATTCATGAGAATGAATGAAATTCCCACAAGGGTCTCAAAGGACTGATACCAGCAGCATGGTTGGCTCAGTGTCTAGCTCACGTCTGCACATGAACATTCTGCTCTCTTCTCCTTCTGTACGCTTTCAGACAGGACCCTGACAACCATGTGCCCCATTTGCTTCTAGTTTCCCTGCAACCCATCTGGAATTACAGGACTGTCTTCCCATGCGTTTTCATCACTTGTGAGAAGGGAGACAAACCTAGCTTGGTTTGGCTTTTTTCCCTCCTCTTTGTTAATACTAGGGGCTTCTGCTTAATTTGTTTTCATAGTAAGATGTCTCTAACTCTATTTTCCTATTTCTCTGCACTGTCTGTGTGAGGCTTAAAGTAAAGCTATGGTTAGAGCAACCAGGTTTATCTTTGGAAGTGAGGCTTGTATTGGGAAAACCATCTTGGAGTGTTTGGATCAAACTAATGTCTCACTACGGACAAAAGAGAGTCTTGGCAAGAGAATGGACTCTTAAAGCAGTAAGCATTCTCTCTTTCCTGGGGGCAACCAAGTTCAAGGTTAGCTGTTGTGAAATGGAAAGCAACACCAGTAAAAGACAGGGATATACACAGGGACCTAGCCTGTTTCTTTCTATAACCCAACACAGAAAATGTGCAGTAATGGATAAATATCTCAGAAATGATAGTTGTTGATTGATGAATCTAAATAAACTAATTGGAAGCTGCTAAACTATTGAACTCAAAGGAAGCAATTTATCTTCCCTAACTAGGATGAAATGTTCATAATAATTGCAAGTTAAGAAGTTTCAATGGAGGCTGGAGAGATGGCTCAGAGGTTAGGAGCACTGGCTGCTCTTCCAGAGGTCCTGAGTTCAATTCCCAGCAACCACATGGTGGCTCAAAACCATCTATACACCTGGCATGCAGGTGTACATGTGAGCAGAACTGTAAACATAATAAAATAAACCTAAAAAAAAGAGAGAAGTTTCAATGGGTTGTTGGCTAGAAGCCAGTGAAGCTCATGGTTTTAGAAAGTTAACATGAGTGATAATTTCCTCTGTGAATCCCTGTTTAACGAGTTTAAGAATCTTCACTCAGTGAAGATTGCTCAGTGGCTGATTATATTACCATGTTTCACTTCTCTCCAGGGATGTGGCATGTTTACTTGTTCAATAGCATCCTCCCCAAGACGAGGCTGGGGGAAAAAGACAGAGATGAAATCATAAATAGTCAAGCTCATTACTTTTTAAGCAGTTATTTTAAAATATCTAATCCAGGAAGTGGGTTCAATTTTGTGGCTATTTAGATTACTCCTGCTTTCTGTTATCCTGTACAGCAGGCAACAAAATGCTGCATGGAAGAGAGTAAAGGCTGAGGAGAGTGTGAAAGGCAAGTAATGAAGAACTCCATGTCAAGAGTATTCTAGTAAGTCCATGCCTGCTGACAGCCTGCTCCGGTGGTTGGTGGTTGTCATGTGCCCTCTCTAACTCATGGGGAAATTTAATCACTGTCTTAAGAGGAGATCCGTGGTGGAGACTTCCTTATTTCTGGCATAGGTGAGTTCCTCCAAGTGAGTGGCAATACAGGGGGGTTTGGCTTCCTTGGGTCAGCTCTCTTACTTTCCTGTGATCCCTTGCCACACGAAACCTTCCGCTGGGTGGAGCGGTAGCATGAAGGCCTTCACCAGATGCCAGCACCTTGGAATTGTACTTCTGTTGTGCATACAACTGCAAGCAGTGCATTTCTTCATAACTATATCCTAATTTCTTTTTAATAATTTATTTAATTTTATTTTATGTGCATTAGTGTGAAGGTGTCAGATCCCTTGGAATCAGCATTACAGACAGTTGTGAGCTGCCATGTGGGTGCTGGGAATTGAACCTGGGTCCTTTGGAAAAGCAGACAGTGCTCTTAAACACTGAGCCATCTCTCCAGCCCCTTTGTCCTAATTTGTAATTATGTGTGATAGCAACAAAAGCCAGACTAAAACATGTAGTATTGACAGACCTCTTCTGAGTGCTTGAGATATAACTGTGCAATCAAAGTTATTATATAATCAGCCCTTGAAAAATGGAGATAGGACTGAACAAAAACTAACTCACAAAGTAGGACTCCATAGAAGAGCTCATTATTCATAATAACTTTCTAAAATCATAAATACCCATCTTAAGGACTTCTACCGAAGAATAGGAAGAGAGCCAGAGAACTGATATCCTTTGATATTTTCCTTCTGAGAAGGAGATATATAAGAAGTAAATTTTATATGAGAAGTATAAAAGCGATAAGGATATTGCTTATATAGGAATTATATAGGAATAATACAGTATGTAGATAAATGCATTACTTTGTAGGGGTGCGTATAACAAAGTATCACAAGCTGGGTGACGTGAAAGAACAGAAATGTTTGGCTCACAGGTCAACAAATAAGTATGAATTCAGTGTGCCCACAGGGTCGTACTTCCAACTGGTAGGAGAGTCCTTCCTAGTTACTGCGGCTAGCTGGCAGTCTCTGGTGCTGCTCACATCCACATAGCTCCAACTCCTGTTCTTTTTACCCTGTGAATCCGTATTAAGTTGCCACTCCAGCAGCATCTTAATTAGCTAACTCTATTAGCTAATTTCATCTGAAATTCATGTGGGATTGTTCCGGAGTGCTCATTAAGTGAACACACAAACAGACAAACAAACAAACAGCGCCTGGAGAATGGCAAAAATCTCCAGAAAGGTGAGAGAGCCTCTGGTGGGAGTGGTGGTGGAGGACTTGATTGGGAAAGCATAGCCAGCCAGCTCTGCAAAATACGCAGTGAAGATCACTGCAAAGGGAAGGGAGCCAAGGGACCCACACACTGACAGTCCTCCGGTACTTAAAGCCGGGAGTAGGGATGCCCAGTCCAGATGTCCCCAGCCTATTTGTTTTTGTGCTTTGTTTGTTTATTGCCTCTTGTATTTGTAAATTGTACCTGTAAGAAAGTCGTGTCCAGGGGACACTACTATTCATAATAGCAGAGTCCTTCATGTGCAGTGAAATCCTAACTGATCACAGTTGAGTGTGGGACTCAGATCATCTGGGACACTCTGACTGCTGATCTTGCTCTCCAGGCACCTGCTGCATAAATCAAGCTGATGCCATGACAGAGTCTGGTGCAAACAAGATACTTTCTCACGAAAGCTAAAAAGCCAGAGCTCTTTAGCTTCTGAAAGGAAGACTTTAGGATATAATTTTCTTTTTCAGAAACTAGACTGACCAAGCTCTGTGACACTCTCAGATCCACAGCAGAAGTGTTTCTGGGAATGGTGGGAAAAGGTTGTAGAGATATTACAAGTGTCCTCGTGTTTTATAAATAAAAAAATCTTATTCCTGGTATTCCGCCTGAAATACAGACCTCAGCCTTATCTGTCATTTCTGGCCTGATCTAACTTAATCTCTTACCAAACTTAATAGATATTTTCTGCAGAAATATTAATAATCTTTAGTATAGGATACTATTCTAGACAATATTACAGCAATAAAATATATCTATACAACTGTTTAGCAAAAACCTTTAGTATATTTTTCTTAATGCACATAGCTCCAAGGTTTATGAATATACTGTCCATATACTACCTACTACTCACACATCTCCACCAATCACACTCTAATGTATAGTTTTTTGTGTGTACTGAATATATGTTACTTGGTGCTGATGAAATGGCTCAGCAGGTGCAGGTGTCTGCCTTCAACCCTGGCAACCTGAGTTCAGTCCTTGGAACCCACATGGTAGAAGGAGAGGACCGACTCCTACAAGTTGTCCTCTGACCTCCATGTGTTCTGTGGTGTGAGGAGCACTCCTACCCCCGCCAGTTCTCCCTGACCTTTATGTCTGTATGCACGCAAGACCTATCACACAGTTTTAAATCTCCTAGTTCTTTCCTGTTTTTTCTTAGATGTCAATTTAGGT